TCGAATAAATGATTGAGGTTTAAATTGAACTACAGCATTGAATTGGCTTTCATCTAAATTTTTTGTTGTTGAGGGTTTCTGAACAGATTTTTGTTCCTAAAAATAAATTTAAATAAAAAAAGGAAAAATTAAAATATTCACAATTTTATCTTTCCCTTTAACCATTAATTTCTCCTCTTTTTTCTCTTTTGTTGCAACCTCCTTTGAAGTATTAAAAACATTCTTTTGTTGATTTTTGTTGGAAATTTCTTCTTTTGAATTTTTTCGTTTTATAATGTTTGTTGTTGTTGTTCTGATTTCTTTATTTTCTTTTTCTTCTCCTTTTGTTGTTGTTTTCTTTGTTGTTGTTGTTGTTTTTGTTGAAATGTTTGGAGAAGAATTTATTGATGTTTGGATGTTTTGCTTTGTTTGTTGTTGTGGACTCGAACATTTCTTTTTAATACCAACAACGTCTTTTTTGTTTGTTTCAGAATCTTTATTTGTTGTTGTTGAGGAAGTTGCTGCTTTTGTTGTTGATGTTTTTGTTGTTATTGGTGTTTTTGTTGTTGTTGGTGTTTTTGTTGTCGATGTTGGTGTTTTTGTTGATGTTTTTGTTTTCCCTTCACTACCAGAATTTGCTTCTTTTACAATAGAAAGGCGACGATGTGCTATAGGGCCTGTTGTTTCTATTAAGCTTTGAGGGCGATCCTTACTAAAAAATTTTTTTTTAATTTTTAATAAAATAAATTTCCTTTTACCCTTCTCTTCCATTTAAAGATTCTTTTGTAACTTCAGTTGTCGATCTTCTACTTAAGGAGGGCATTCGCAAAAGTAGAGAAGAGGCTGAAACTGTGGATTGAGTAGGCGATATTTGTTGTTTTTGTTGTTTTGTAGTAGAAGAAGGTTCAATTAAAGCCTGGCTTTCGGCCATTGTTTGCCGAAATTTTGCAACAGTTGCATTCTTTAAAAAAATGATTTTTTGGGGTTAATTAACGTTTAGTTAAAAAAGTTTTTGGCCAACGCGCCCAAAAGCTTTCTGCGCCTAAACATCCCTTCAACAAAATTTTCTCCTCAATTATACCTTATCTAAGGCTCCAGGTTTGCTAACAAAGCACTTAAGTGCAGCAATTTCTTTTTCCAATTCCCTTTCATTATTTGAATGTTGTTGCTGTTGTTGTTGATGTAATTCATTACTAATTACTCGACGTGCACTTCTTGCCGCCATTAATCTCATTGTAGCATCAGAAGGTTCTACAATCATTGGATTATGGTGATGACCAGCGGCAAATGCACGTTCAGTTTCTCGAGCTTCTCTTTAAAATTAATTTTATTTAGGACAGAATTTTTAATAAAACAGAAAAGTCTTCCAGGGGGAGGTGGAGGAGGGAGGGAAGGAGATAAAATTAACCAAAAATTTTATTTTTTAAATCCATCGCTTATAAAAAATTTTCCCCAATAAATTCCTGTTGTTAGTTTAAGTAAATCTCTATCTTTTACCTGAACCTTTGAGCATCCGCCAATTTTTGTCTCCATGGCCTTTCTGATTTTGGAATAGGCCTAGGAGGAGCTGTTGTGGTTAAAATACCAGAATTTGGAGAAACAATTGGGGGAGAAGCAACAGTTGATGGAGAGCGGGATATTGACATTGATGAAGGAGAAACACATTTACTAAATAAAATGAAATAAAATAAAAAATTAAAAAAAAATAAGTAAGTAACTGAAACGGCTATTGGGGGAATATATAGAGTATAGGGGGAACAACAACACATTGTAGATTTATAAAAATATAAAACGAAGACTGAGATTAATGAAATTTTGTATAAAAATATCTGACAATGTTAGCTAACTCATCTAAAAATTTCAGAATTTTTGGTTCAGTAATTCTGAAATTATGGAAGAAAATGTTCAGCTTTTTGGAAGAAAAATTCGATTTAGCGTCAATTTTCACCATAATTTTTTAAATAATCAATCAAAAAATCTGAAATTTATAGAGGAGGTAAATAATACTTTAAAAAATATTTGTGCAAAATTTCACAGCTCTAGGTTAAGAAAATATAAAAATATGTAACCGCGCGCCCAAAAAAGTCTGCGCCCAAACGAACCAAAAATCTAACTACAACTAAAAATACTCCGAAAATAAAAAAGATTATAACAAAAACAACATAAAAATTGTGTCTTATTTTCTTCTGTTTATTTACAAAAAAAAACTTTGCAAATAAAAGAGAAAAGTTGGGGAAATGTTTTGTGTTTACAGACAAGAATTTTATGTAAAATGGATTTTTAAAGTTATTTTAAAAAAAATTCTTTCCCCTCTTAATTTAAAAGTAACAGAAAAAAATAGTTTTTGGAATATTTGAAGAAAATACAAAGAACAAATTTTTAAAAATAATTTTTTTTTGAAGTTTTTTAAAAAATATTATATACCGTTAATACTCTAATTGAAGCCTTAAGCTTATATTTTTCAATGGGTCTCTTAAGATGGGCTTATATTTGAGGTGGGCTTCTATTCATTGCTGGGTATGGCTCTGGGAGCTAGCCTCAGCTGAGCGGGAGCCTGAGCCAACAAATGCCCAATACCCAGCAGTGCTTCTATTAGTGTATTTACGGTAGATTTAATAATATGTACACATAAGACTGTCTCAAAGAACAGGAATAATTAAAATTTATAACCAAAGCTGTCTGATCACGAAAAAGGAGAAAATCACTTTTAAAGGAAGCGATTTTGATAATTTAGATAACCAAAGAGAAGAGAATAAAAATATTTTTCCCCTTTATAACTAAAATTTTTAAACATACGAAATAGGGGATAAATTTGTTGTTTCCGCAACAGAATTTCTTAATTGAGAAGAATTAACAAAAGGAGAAGATATTGAAGGGGTTGTAGTTGAAGAATAATTATTTCTTTCTTTAAAATTAACAAAATTTTAAAGAATTTCTTTCCAATTAACCTGTTTGTTGTCTTTTATTAACTGGACGTAAATTATAACGTATATCAACTAGCGCTGCCCTCGTTTGGCTTAAACCCGTTGTTCTGTAGGGAAAAGTTTTGCGTTGTGGTTCGTGTCGGGGAGACAATGCAACACTCCCCCCACTGCCGCCAGCTGAAAGGGAAGACCGTGCAGTTGTTTCATTTGAAGTATTTGAAGCTAGGGAAGAGCCAAAACGGGATGAACTATCAAAAGAATTTAATTAATTTTAAAAATAACATTTTGGCGCAAGCAACACTTAGGCGCGAGAGACTATAAGACCCTCAAAATAAAACCTATTTTCTTAAAATTTTGTAGTGATATCCCCTATAGTGGTGTCTAATTCTTCTTAAAATTTTAAAATTCTTGGTTAAGTATTTCAAAGTTATGGACAAAAAAGTGACAGAATATGTCGACATTTTTCAGAAAATTAAGAATATTTTTGAGCACAACTTTGGAAAAATTAACAAAAAATTCTGAAATTATAAGAATAGTTAGTTAACATTGTTGGGGATATCCAGGTAAAATTTCGTGGCTATGGGCACATATTTGGGAGTTTTATAAACTAGAGAAGGAACGAAACACCCGAAACTTGCGCCTCTCTTATACAGAAAATTTAAAAAAAACTTTTTAGTTCATTTACCGTTCCGGTGCCCTCAACAGCTTGGAAGGAAGAGTTCCATATCCACTTTGTGGAGAACAAACTCGACTGCTTCCAGCCCCCTTACTAGAAGTACTTGACGCTGAAGTAGGGCGTATTACGGAGGAAGTTGGGGGACTGACAGTTTCGAAAGCGCTAGCTAATCGGCTTGTTCTGTACCCGCCAACTCCACTAGGTCTAGCCCAACGGACAGAGTTCCAACTGGAAATATTACAAAATTTATTTTATAGAAAACCTCTATTATGTAGACACCCCTCCCTAATACAAACAAAAATTCGTCCATAAAATGGAGAGGTTTATGTGTCTACAAAATAGAGGCTAGGAACTATATTGAAAGTCCACAAAATAGAGGGCAATTATCTCCCTTTTTAAATATTCTAACCTAGTTCCAGTAGGTTCAACCGATGTACTTAAACGTGCTCTCGCTACGGAACTAGCCATCAAGGATTAAAAAAATAATTATTTTTAAAATTCAAACAGTTGTTTTGTTATTTTTAATAGTTGTCAATTTTTTTCTTTTTTAGGTTTTCCACCCAATTGGATCTAAATAAATTTTTAAAATTGATGATTCATAATTTTATAAACAAAATTATTAAATTAAAAAAAATGAACGGAGAGACAAAAATTTAATAGCGCCTTCATAGGAAAGTGAGATTAAACACGTTGCCTTTAGAGTTGAATTCTGATTTCCTCCTTCCCATGTTTGGACAAGTTCTAATTTCTAATTTATTTCTAATTTATTATCGTTAAAATCAGTGTATTTTTTATACTGTGAAGACGCCTAAATAAAAACGCCGTAAAACTTTTATTAACTACCCTGGGTAATTATTGCTTCGACCTTCCGCTGGGGGAGTAATTAATCGAGGGAGGGTAATTATACGAGGTTTAAAATTTGAACGTGTTTTAGGGCATTTGATGTGGGGTAATTATTGTTTCAATTATTGTTTTAATCTTTCGCTGGATGGGGTAATTAATAAAATTGGGGTAATTATTTGAGGGAGGGCAATTAATACAGGTTTTACGGTAAATTTAAAACTCGGATTGAGGACAGGGATAAGGCTGTAACGAAGACTAATAGTAAAAATTTTGTTGGATACAGGATAGCGAGTTGTGAATGAGCGAAAGATTTACGAGATTGTGGTTAATCCTTAATAAAATAACAACAAATTAAAAATCTACTAAATATTTTTAATGATCAATTTGGAGGAAGAAAAAAAAACATAAAAATAAAACAACTACTAAAAATAAATATACAAGCATTTTAGCTAGCAAATGTCGATTGGAGCATGAACGAACGGCTGCTGGTTTTAACGGGAAAAATGGATAGAAGTGGGGGAAATGAGGAAAAAGAATAAATGAAGGGAAGGATTAGATAATAATATTTTTAGAGGAATTTGAAAGGATTTGGAGGAGAGAGATTTTGAGTTATAAAAATACAGACAAATTCAGGTATAACTTGAAGGGGCTGAAGACAAGGTTCGAGTAGGGTTGCCGTTTTCGAGGTGGGCCGCATTTTTCCGAGCCATATTTTTGGACTTGTTTTTATCGAGGCGGGCCGGTTTATTTTCGGGCCGTATGAGCTTTTTAGGGACGAATATCTTAGGCCCGACTCGATATTTCGGTCCGTGTCGGTCCATTTTGGCAACCCTAATCAAGACGTTCGTTAAATCGAAGTTTCAGATAAAGATTTGGTTGGATAAAAATCAACAGGAGAAATCAAAGTTTACTTCAGAATGTCTGGACTTGAGATCTTGGTAAAGTAAAAATCCTCCCTTAAATCAAAATCCAGATTAACCAAGATAACCTAGACATACTCGACTTAATATTAAAAAATACACACAAAAAAAGAGAAAGAATTGGTCAAGAAATTCTCGCGTTTAGAAAAAAAATTTTTTTTTTAAAGCTTTTGTGTAATCCAAACAGATGTACTTAGAGTTGTGAATAATTGATCCGCTCAAAGATTTGTCTCTTTTTCATTTAAAAATATTTTTCTCTTGTTTTTATTTACTTTTTCCTCTACAAAAAATTTATAGCAATTTATTTTTGTCTAAAATCCCCCTTTAAATTATTTTAGGTTTCTGTCAAGCCTTTCCTCAAAAATAAGAGGAAAATCAGCGTAAATTGAAAGGAAAATCAGAAAAAAAATAAATTACTTTCTCCTTTATTTAAAGTGTAAACTACACTAGAAGAATCTCTCTCCTTTCTCATAAAATAATTTTTTTCTATTTTATAACAGAAAATTAATGTTGGTCAGTTTTTTCTATTTAAAAAAACTATAATTTATTTAATTGACAATTAATTAGTCAAACAAGAAAAAATTAAAAAAAAAACTTTTTTCTAAGCAAAAATCAATTTTAAAAAATGAGAGAAAATTAAAAATAAAATTAAGAAAAAATTTTGAATAAAAATTAAATTTGGATATAAAAAAGAAGAAAATAATCAGAAAAATAATTAGCATTTTTTCGACAAAGTAAAAGAAACAAAACTTGAATAAATTAACCAGAAATTTATTTTAATAAATTTTTAGCTCTATTAATATTTCAGAATTTTAGGGTAAATTAATTGAGAAAAATTCTGATAAAAAAATTCTGATTTTATTCTTTTGTATTTTTCTGATAATTTCTGGTTTAACCAAAAATTCTGAATTTAGAAAAAAAGAAAATAATCAGAATATCAGAATTAGCATTAAAAATAAATTTAAATAATTTTTAATAAAATTATTGAATAATTTTTTGCAAGGAGTTTATCGAAAATAAAAATAAAAATTCATTCACCCGTTCGTTCAATAAAAACAAATTAAATCAACACTTTCTCTCTCAATTTCCACACCTTTTAAAGCAAATTTAGCGGGTTTGTTAGTGTTAATTTGTATATATTTTTAATGTGCTTTGTTAATGCATTAAATCATTAAATAGTATTTTTACAGTTAAGAATTCAGTAATTATTTTAAAAATTAATTCAGAAAATTGTTGGGAATTTTTTGGGGGAGAGAATAACTAAAGGAAAAGGAATATGAATAGAAAATTAAATTACAGGATCAGAAATAAAAAAAAATCAGAAATAATAATCAGAAATAAAAATCAGAATAAAATCAGAAATAAAATCAGAATAAAAAATCAGAATTAAAATCAGAAATAGAAATCAGAATAAAAGAAATCAGAATAAAAATCAGAAATAAAAATCAGAATAAAAATCAGAATAAAAGCAGAACAAAAATCAGAAATTAAAATCAAAAAAACAAATAGAAATCAGAATAAAAATTAAACAGAAAAATATATATGTAGCAAAAATAACATAAAATTATTTTTAAAAATATAAAATTATAGGAAAATAGACTTGAGTCGTTAAGAAATTTAAAAATTAATTAATTTAACCCTAATTTAAGCTAAAATAAAAATCTTATGATAAATCTCATTTAAAAGTCACCCGTCCTCTTTTTAAAAATCATCACAAGTTTACTCTTAAATATTGCCAATTTGTTAAAAGTAAAAAATAAAATAAAAATTTTTTTCTTCATTTCCATGAAAAAAATTTATTTTTACCCAATTTTTCTCCTCCAAACAAATTTTAAAAAAGAACAGTTGTATATTTAAACAACTGTTTTTAATTCTTCTTTTTTATTCCAAATTTTTTTTAAAAATGTTTAAAATATTTTTAAAATAACAAGAATCGATTAGAGGAAGAAACGCCCCCACTCTTATAATTATTTTTTTTTTTGAAAAAAATTTCAAAAGTACAAAATAGGGGATTATTAAAAATTATTAACAGATTTTAGAGAATAAATTGAGATAATTTTTCTGATGAATATGAGAAATCTTCAAATTTACAAAAAAAATTTTGGTTGTAAAAAAAATCTATAAAAATAATATTCACATACAAAATATTATTTTTGTAGATCTTTTTTTACTAAAAATTTTTTTTGTAGATATGAGGATTCCCATATCCATCAGGATTAAGAGCTTTTCTACAAATTAAATTAACAAAAAAATTATTTGTAGAACAAGAAAATTCAAATAAAAAATCATAAAAATAAATCATAAGAATGTTTGTTAGGTCGTAGACATGAAAAATCAAGACCACAGCAACAGATCAACCATTTCTCAATTCTTGTAATTTTCAGTAGATTAGCGAGATTAAAGGGAAATTGGGGAGAAACCGTCAGGAACTGCGTTCCGGGAATTAATCTTATGTAGATAACAAGAACCCTCACGAACCGTGTTATCGTTTAATTTTCTGGGTCAGAGAGAAAAAAATCTAAAATTAAATCCAAAAATCCCCAATTTTCAGTAAAATCTAGTAGAATATTCGTGACAAGAATTTTACAAAAAAATATACATAAAATAATAATTGTATATTTAAAAAGCTCTATGTATATATTTTCCTCTCAATGTCCTTGGCCTAATCCGTTGTTGACTTAGATTTTTAGTGTAAAAATAAAGGGAAATTGGGGAGAAAATTGTTTAGAGAAAAAAGAATGCGCAAAAATGTGTATATATATTTGTTTTAGTTTTTTTTAGTTTTTACTACCCAACTTTAAAATAAGAGGAACTAAAAATAATAATGTTGAGAGAGCTCAAATGTCAGAGTAATAAAAATAGACCGTATTTTGATGAACTAGAAAAAAAATGTATTTTTTTTCGAAGATATGTTTGAATTTTGAATAATGTAAAGCATATAGCTTTTTCCTAAAGGCAGTGCAGTAAGCGGCATGGTGTAACGGCTACCACATAAGTCCGGTCTACGGAAGATGCTGGTTCGCTTCCAGCTGCCGAATAACCTTTTGCTCTAGCTAAAAGGAGAGAAATAGCTATAGCCCAGCTGCTTTACTAAAAGAAAATTCGAAAAAGGAATTAAGGTTGCCAAAATGGGTATAGACGCGGACCGAGAAAGTCGAGTCGGGCATAAGATATTTGCCCTTAAAAAGGACTCGTACGGCTATAACTCAGTGGTAGAGGCCCGACTTGATAAATTTAGGCTCTAAAAAAACTCGTACGGCCCAACTCGATAAAAACAAACTCGAAAACATGCCTCGACCGTCGGTTCGATTTGAATACGGCAACCCTAAAAAGAACAACTCAGACACATAAATAAAATATATTTTTCGATTTTTAAAAGTTTGAAGTTCTTGATTAACCAACAAATCATAAAATAATTAAATAATCTTGGTTAATTAACAAGAAAGAACTTTTTTATAGTATTAAAATTATAGTTAGTAACGGTGAAGTAAAAAAATTAGACAATCCCCCAAATCTGAAGGATTTTTAAGAAAAATGAAAGAAAATTTTTTTATATTACTTGGAAATTTAAACTTTAAAAAAACTTTTTTTAATATAAAATTTTTATTAAAAAATATGTACACACACATTATATAATGTAATACTCTAAATTTAAGGTTGCGATTTAATCAAAAAGGACGAAAAAAATATTAAAAATAAACTTTTTTTACACATCTTTATATTTAATTTAAAAAAAAGGTAAAAGTAAAAATAAAGATTTATTACAGAATTGGGAAAGAATTATTTTTTTAGTCCAAATAAAAAGATTTTTTAATAACTTTAAATTAATTTGGCTACAATTATTTTGTCTTCTCTTATAAATTACTAATTAGTATTCAGCGGGATCGGGGCGTATTTATAAAAATACGCCCCGATATATTTCTGAACCCGCGGATTTTTGAAAATTAATAGCCAATTTCGGCTGCTAAAAATTTTATTCGACTGCGGACAACCCTATATGTCTGTGAACAAAAATTGAAAAAAAGTTTTTATCTAACGAGTTTTAAAAAATTGATAATTTAAATTGATAAAATGTTGTAAAAGATTAAACAAAATAAATTTAAAAAATTTTTTTATTTATTTATAATTTTTCAATTATTCTCAAATCATTACAATTTCAAAATCCTTTGAAAAAATTATTTTTGAATAATTTAATTAAAATACTAACCGCATATTCATCACCAGACAAATTATTTAATTTCTCCGTTTTATTCTCAATTAAATCATTTGCCTTTTTAATAAATTATTAAAAAAATATTTTTTTTTATTTAATTATCCCCGGTTATCTTCCCACACGGGATGGGAAAGCTCCAAAATTTCTCTGGGACCTGTTCCAGTTCCAAATCGGTTCAAAACCTTTACTGGTTCGACGGTTCCAGTCCAATACTGCTTCCCACATGTCCGAAATGTTTCCCACGCATATACATAAATAATTCTCTAAATTTCTCTTTCCTTCTTTTTACTCTTAAAAGTAGAGTTGTAGGTTCAAACCGAACCGGACCAAACCGGGAACCCGAAGATTTTCGGTTCAGTTTAACGGTTCGTTTAACCGAATGTCCTTTTTTAAATTTTTTGCCTGCATCGCCGAAAAAGGAGGAATCTTCGGCGCTGAGATGAGATAACCGGAGAAAGGCTAGATCGTGGCTTTGATGCCTACGACAATAGGCAAATAGCAATATTATTTAAATCTAAGTAAATCCTCACCTGAGGCAATTTACTGTTTGGTGTTAACAATTCTGCCTTCGCACGCTCAGCAGCAACAAATTGCGCACGAGACTCATAATCACGTTTATCCTCATCTGAGAGACATGCCCATTCAATTCCAATAATTTCTGAAACCTCTCCAAACCTAGTCTCAGGGTTTTCATTCATAACACGTTTACGCACTTCAGCAGAAAATAGAATGTAACCCCTCTTCAATTTTGCATTTAATTTTGGTTGTGTAGCTACCCACGAATTATTGTTCTTAAAAGAAATAAATTTTAAAAACCAAGTCACCTTTGCATTCGTAGGACTTCTCTTACCTCTAAAATTGTTTGACGATAAAATATCGGGAGGACTATTTGAAGGAAATGTAAATGAACGAGATGTACCGGAGAGTATTTTCTCGAAAAGCCCACATGTATCAAAGTTAAAGACCAAAATTTCGTACACCCCCAACGTTGAGTATAATTTTAATAGGTTTCTAACTCGTAACATAGTTTCAATTTGGCCCGCAAAAAATACAAACCAAATTTTAATTAAAATTTAGATGGACTTTAGTTTCGAATACAAAATCAAAGTTAAAGTATTGAGAAGAAAACATTTCTTCAAAAACTCATGAAAACTAGGTGGTTTTTCTGCCTTATGTTTTAAATAAATTAATTAATCCACTACCTTTTTAATTTCTAATTCCAAAAAATTAATTTTCTCATCTTTTTCCTTCAAACACAAATCATGTTCAATTTTTAATTGTTCAATTTTTTGTTCAATTATTTTTAAAATATTCTAAAAATTATTAAAAATTAATTTAACACAAAATCATATCGACAAACTTTCTCCATTTCCTCAACTTTAATTTCAAGAAAAAAATTTTTCTCTTCAACATTTAAAGCCTTCGCTTTAACAAATTTTATTTGAAAATTAGTTTCTTTTAATTTTAATTCCAAAACATGAATTCTCTCATCTTTTTGATCAATTTCCTCTTTTAATTGTTCAAATTTATTTTCAAATAATTTTTGGAATTTTTGTTCTATTGTTTCAATTTCTTTTTTATTGTCAGAATTTAAATTTAAAATTTTCTAAAATTTAAAATTAACACAAAAATAGGCAATCACGGAGCATAGGGGTTTCTTCGAAAAAAACAGTTTTTCAATATTTAGGGGTCTGTATCTCCGTCGAATCACGTCGGATTTCATTGATTTTGGTGTCATTCGATGCAGCTCGATGAGTTCTGACTGACTATGAAAGTCTGACCATTTTGTACAATGTCCGAATTCGGGTTCGGGATTCGACTTTTTCAAAATCCGAGCTCAGTTTCATAGTCAGCATATTTTTTTACCCTAGAAAAATCCTTTTCTTATTTTTAAAATTTTTTTCGAAGAAAACCCTATTCTCCGTGATTACCCAAAAATTTATTTATTTCCACAAACTTTTTCAATTTCTTTCAGTTTAATTTGATTTGAAAAATTTTTCTTTTCAAGATTTATAGTCTTCATTTGAACAGATTTTATTTGATAGAAATTATCATTTACTTTCGATTCCAAATCAGAATTTGATAAACCTTCTTCAGCCATTTTTTGTTTAATTAAAATTAATTTTTATAAAGAAAAAACAAATCTAAAATATTCAAAATTTGTTAAAATTTAAAAATATTTTGTTTTTCGGGGAGGCAGCGCCACGTGGGGGGGGGGGGGGGGGGTGCACTTATTACTGTTACATGAATGCAATCTCTAGCATATTTTTTAAAAATAAAATTTAAAAAATGAACTTATTAAATTTAGGGGGAATTAAATACATAAAGTTAAAAATTAAATTTGCAGAAATTAATTCATTTTTTTAACGAAAATTTAATTTTTTGAAATAATTAAATATGAAACTAAAAACTAAAATACATATCTTTATATATTGCAGGATTTGTGCCCAAAGACTATTTTTTTTAATCCATGTTGAGAAAAAAGGGAGGGGAAAATGAATTTATTTGTTGAGGGAATATTTTAAATTTAAGATTTAAATAAAATATTTAAAGGCAAAAAATTAAAATTAAAAAATACAGGGTGGGCAAAAGGAATTCCACTCAGAAAAACACTGACGGACAAACACGGTCTTGCCAAAAAACAGAACGACCAAAATACGAATCATACCAAAACACGGTCCAGAGAAAATCCCAGGGTATCTGGATCTAACTCGCGATTCAATTCGAACTTAATCGGGACAGCAGTCTTAATTCTGATAATAAGAGGACTGTGTAGCAATAAAATGTATTTAAAACAGTCAGTTTATTATTGTACGTCAATATTTAGTCCTTAAAGTACTCATCAATGTTTTGCTAATATTAAATTCTCTTTCAATTTACATTTCAGTGTAAAATAATATAAAGTTTAATTTAAAACTTTTTTGAGGATTTAAAAGTATTTTATACATAAACAAGGACAAATTTAGCAAAATATGGTAATGGTCGGTTTTATGTGCCCCGTTTTCTAATTTTTCATCTCTGCAGAAAAAATAGAGGAAGAAGTGTTTTTCGATATTTTAGAAGTTTGCCAGTAGGTAATTAAGTGTGCTGACATTTTACAAATCCTCGGTTGATTTATTAGTTGGAGGCTTTAATGTCCTTGTGTATGGTCTAATCTTTTAACTAACAGAATAACACAGGAATAAATGACATGTTTATTCGAAGCGTAAATACAAGAATGACAAAGGTGTCAATGGGCTAGATACCCAAGAACACCCGGATGAAAAATTTATCAAAATATGGTAATGAACACAGGAACAGAATAACATGTTTATCCGAAGCGGTGCTAAAAAATAAACAATTTTTTCAAAATTTTAAAATTTATTGTCAAAAAATCGGAAGTTTTGACCGATTTTTGTTAAATTTTTGCAAAAAAAGAACAAAATATGACCAAAATATTATCAAATAAAAATTAGATTTATAGAGAACTAAATAAAAACAAATATACATAATCAGGAATTTTCGAAGTTTCACCTTTTCCTAACTATAAATGAATAAAAAATTGAAGACAAGTTGAAAAAATTTTATGCAAAAGTCAGCATCTCCTCGGGTGAGATTTTCTCTCATTCCCAAACGATTTACAAATATATTTGGTTTCCCTTTAGCTAATCAAAATTTAAAAAAATTTTTTAATAATTTATTTTCTTTTCCCTTTCATTAGATAACCCCCTCAATTAGATCAACACATATTCATTTTCTTCAATACAATTAAAAATAATTGGTTTGTTTGTATTTATACATTTATTGTAACAACAACATTTATTATATTTAGTATCAATTTCACTCCATTTATTTTCAATTATAACAAAATCCTTTGAAAAAAAATCATTTTTTTAATGATTTAATTAAAATTTAACCTCATATTTCTTACTAATCAAATTATTTAATTTAATCAAGTCATCAATTTTTTTCCAGATAAATCATTTGCCTTTTTATAAAAATTAATTATTAAATAAAAAATATTTTTTTTTGAAATTAAAATTTAAAAAAAACTTAAACTCCTTTGATCTAAAAAAAATTTAAATCAGAAAATTTATCCTTATTTTGAGAATTTTGGCCCTATCCGAAAAGAATGCCGGCATCCAATTTTTCCTTTCCTCCTCGAATGGGAAAGGAAAAGTTAATTTTTCGGCTCTATCTTTTTCTTTCCCTTTCGAGGAGGGAAGGAAAAATTGGATGCCGGCATTCCTTTCGGATAGGGCCGAATTTTTTAAATAAACATAAAATGGATATTTTTTATTTTGTTTTTAATTAATAGAAAACAGTGCTTATACGCTCTACCAGAATTCGTACTCGTGCTTTGATACGAAGTACGAAGCCAAAAATAGAGGTGGTACAAGGCAAAATTCAAATTTATAAGGGAGAAAATACCTTTTTAATTTCTTCTTCCAAAAAATTAATTCTCTCATCTTTCTGATCATTTTCAGTTTTTAATTGTTCAAATTTGTTGTCAAATAATTTTTGAAATTTTGTTCTAATTCATCAATTTCTTTTTTATGTTCAGAATTTAAATTCAAAATTTTCTAAAATTTAGAATTAACAAAAAAATTTATTTATATCTCCACAAACTTTTTCAATTTCTTTCAATTTAATTTCATTTGAAAAATTTTTCTCTTCAAGATTTACAGTCCTCGTTTCCAAATTTAAAGTCTTTTGTTCAAAATTTAAAGTCTTCTTTTCAACAGATTTTATTTGAAAAAAATTTTCAGTTATTTTTGATTCCAAATCAGAATTTGATGACCCTTCTTCAGCCATTTTTTGTAATTTAAAATTAAAATTAATTTTTAAAAAGAAAAAACAAAATCTAAAATATATTCAAAATTTGTTAAACTTTAAAATAATTTTGTTATTTTTTTAAAAGAAATGATAAACTCTAAAAAAATAAATTTAAAACAATTTCCGGTAAAAATTAGGTTTTGATTTTCTTTTTTAAACTCGCTAGAATAAATAGAAAAAGAATTATTTAGGTTTCTATTTAGGTAATTAAGTTTACGTTTGAATTTTATTTATTTGGAATTCCCAACTCAAATCAGACCTGTACAAATTTAGTTTAGAGATAAAAAAAAACTTAAAATTTTATTGCTTACTCTCTTGGAGCTTGAATTCGTATCTGAAATAAAATTTGAATTCCTATTCGGACTTAATTACTTAGGGAGACAAGAAACACACAAGAGAAAACGAAAAGGAAAATTTGTTACATAAATGACAATTTTTTACATATTTTTTTAAAAATTTTAAAAATAGACGTATTAAATTTAGAGGGAATGAAAACAATATTTAGAAATTAAATTTGCAGAAATAATTAATTTTTTTAACTAAAATTTAATTTTTTGAAATAATTAAATATGAAACTAAAAACTATCAAAATTCATATCTTTATATATTGCTGGACTTTTGCCAGAAATCCATTTTTTAAAATCAATGTTGAGAAAAAAGGAGGAAAAAATTAATTTATTTGCTTAGGGAATAATTTGAACTTAAAAGATTTAAATAAAATATTCAAACGCAAAAAATACAGGGTGAGAGGCAAAACACACAATTCCAGTCAGAAAAAACACTGACGGACAAAACAAGGTCCTGCCAAAACACGGAACGACCAAAACACGAACCATAACAAAACACGGTCCGGAGAAAATCCCAGGATATCTAACATCAGATATAATCCTTCGAACTGAAGGATTCTAATAATATGGCAGTCTTTGGACTGTACCTATAATTTCTAGGAATTTATAGGAAATACATATAATCTAGGGCTGGGCTTATTTCGCACTTTCGCGTTTCGCATCTTTCGCATTCTCGCATTTTTCAGCGCTAAAAGTTTCGCATTTTGCTTTTTATTTTTAGACTTTGCCCAGCCCTGATATAATCATATCTTAAATAAACTTCTGGGGGTTTGCGCCAAAGGGGCCAAAAGTTTCAAAAGAATTCGGGGAGGCAGCGCCACGGAGGCAGAGGGAGGGGTGGGGAAATTTACATAACTGTTACA